CTGTTTTTTATTACAATAAACATGCACAAATATTGTTAATTACTAATGTTCTATCATATATTTTATATTTACAATCACTGGACATGGTTTTAGAATTGCTGGAGCTTGGGAACTCCTTGAAACAAGGCACCATGCAAAGAGGCACCTTAATTCCACACATAACCGAGTGTCTTTGCGTTTTTGTTGCCATCTTTTTTGTTTGTGCACGGGACAATGCATTCTTCTGAGCAAATTTTTTTGAGTTGAAGGAAGCTGTATTATGAATGATCGCCTTCTCTCCTCAAGCTTGGGTATATCCTGAGGAATTCGAGACCATGTTGTATTGCAGGTGTTGTTACCTGGTATTCATTATGAGTTGTCTGACAACAGAAAAAACAAAATTCCCCATACGGTGGTCTGTTACCAGCTTTATTTGGTACATATTATATGCATTGAGCATTGAAATGTCCATGAGAGGGAAAGAAAAGTTTCATGTACCACTTGTAAATCTTACGAACACAGTCAACAAAACCAATCTGCATGCCCACATTGTCAACCAAGCGCATGTTTTGTTTTAAAAAATCAATCACGGGACATGGTTTTCGAATATGTTCATTAGTCACTCAATCAACTTTGCCACTGTCTTGCATTTCATTACGGTGAATGGTTGTCAACAATGTGACATCTCGTTTGTCATGCCACCTTTAATTGCCATGATGTCTTTGGCAGTAAACCCCTGAAACGTCATCACCACGAACACTGCGTTGGCCTGGGCATATGTTACGATTGAACGCACTGTGCCACACACATCTGTCTTGTTCACTCGCATAAAATCACTGAGTAATGGGCCTTGTGTACCAGTTATCGGTATATAATGTATGCCCCTTACCAGAAAAGGTGGTGCCATCATGTTTTCACTACATCACCTGAGATACCCAATAACTTTCTTGGTATCTTTAAATGTTTTACACCCGTGTATACAAAAAATTATCCAACACCAGGCCACTGTCACAATCACAGAGTAAAAACAGTTTTATACCAAAGCGGTTCCTCTTGCTCGGTATATACTGTTTGAATGCAGTTACCTTTGAACAAAATCAAAGACTCGTCAATTACAAGATTCTTGAATGGATAAAAGTATATCCTGACTGTTGTTTGAGATAATGAAAAACATTTCTAATCTTGTATAACCTGTCACTTCTGTCAGGCCGGGGTTTTGTCAGAGAAGTTGCAACATACGTAACAGTAAGATAAACTGTTCACTGGTATTATTTCACTGAAGACCGGGGTAGAAATTAGCCGATTTTGTGGCCCAGTATGCTTTTATATTATGCTTATAGACGTGAGGCAAAAGGGCTTTATTGTTGCAAAAGCAAATACATTTCTGCAACAGTCATCTCTTTCCCACCTGTGTAGTCTTGACTGTGGTGATAAGATTGTATTTCCCATGGTGCACTGAAAATATTATTATTTTCCCCTGGAAATAATTTCCATCAATGGCTGGTCAAAAAGAATAATTCAAAGAATTCCAGTTCATTGGCCATGGTTCCAAGGGGAGGGGTAGGTAGAATTCCCCACTTTGAGAGTCATCAAGTGGTGAGGCTTGGGAACAAAATTGGGATTTTGCTGCCAAACCCCCATACGGTTTTTGGTGGATACTGGACATCATAGGCTGGTTGTAGGGTGGTTGTGGCGGGCTGGTGGCTGACGCTCCGCTTTGTCCTTGAACTGATGAGTCAGCAGCCCTGGGTCCCCGCGTGGCACGGTGAGTCACGCATGGCGGTGCACTACCACCACCAGCCCACTAACAAACCCTCCACTGATGCCTGTGGCTCATCCATGCCAAGTGTAGCCCCATCATCCTCACCCATCACTACCTAAAACGGGTGTAGGGCATGGGATGTACTCCGGGATGTACTCTGTCCCCTGGGCACAGCATAGGGTACACTACCCAAGCACATGCGGCGGTGAACATACCGACCTTCACTGGTGAATATGATTCCTCACTATCACTACTCGAATGATCGTCGAGCGCAATAAAAAACACAATCCATGTCAGAATTTATCGTCATTACTAAAGTCAGAGGCTGGCCACGCGAAATATTAGTTTTCTCTTCGTTTAGGAAAAACCCGACCGTGAGTCACGAGTGCCCAACCAGAGGTAGAAGGTCGGGTTGTCGGGGTTTTCTGCACTATTATCGATGTCCTGGTCATTATTTTCGGTCACTAACTTATCAAAGCCGTAGAATTCGTCTTCATTTCTACTTCCATCAGTGTCAGAACTATCAGACAGGAAGAGGAGAGTCCCAATTTTCCGGGGAGTGAGAGCTGACTTGCGACGAGGCATGGTGAACAAGGGTGACTGAGCCGGCGTTCCCACAATGCTATGCAGGCGCCTAGATTTTTTGTTTATGGCACACACCCACGGCGCAGACCCATTCTCTCACATGTAGGCCTATGTGCGCTTTCGCGCTAAATTTGATGGCGCTAGAATTTTGGCGTAGATCTATGGTTTGGACACTCACCGTAAAGCCGTAGATCTACGGGCCGGACCCTGAAAGGGTTAACAAATTGCACTCTGTTAAACTGCTTATAGGTTTGTGGCCATCTTCTTGCCACCATTGCCATACTCAGGAGACTGTGCTCTCCCGGCTCTGCATTGGCCATACTTGTCTTACCCGTGGGTATCTCCTGGAACGATACCCTATTCCTCTCTGTAAGGTTTGTTGGGTCCTTATTTCGGTTCTTCTCTTTCTTGTAGATTGCCCGGTTTACCAGCGAGCTTGCAGGATTTGCCTCCAATGATGCTGCCGCCCTACCACTCTTACCTTGTCTTCCCTTCATGCAGACAGCCTTACCTTTGACTTAGAATAACTTTTTGACTTTTTGTCAGCAACTGCTTTTCTGTACGAGCTTCGACACACAGCCCTTAGCATCCCTTCCAGCCCTTCTCTCCCCTCACCTCTGATACCCTCTCTGCCTAGCTGTTTATAGCGTCAGCACTTTTTTCTTCCCCACAGTGCTGTAGAACCCTTGTCGGCTTAGTGCTTTCTTTGATTATAATAATAATAATAATAATAATAATAATAATAATAATCTGTTAGGCCAAGGTTAATGTTGAAGTCTTCAGTTAGGAAAAGGAAGTGCTTGTTCAGTTGGTTGTTTGTTATTAGCATTTTCTAATTTATTGCTAAAATTTTGGATCTTTGTATGAGGCATCTGGTATATGGCACCAATTTTTATAGGAGTCTTAAGGTTTTTTACAGTGAAATTTGCAAAAATATATTCTCCATATTCATTACTATAGGTAGTAGATTAATAGACAGCAACCACCCAGGTAGGTACTACTGTCCTACCAAATGAGTGTGAAATAGAAACCTGTAACTGTTTTACATGATGGTAGGATTGCTGGTGTCTTTTTTCTGTCTCGTAAACATGCAAGATTTCAGGTATGTCTTGCTACTTATACTCAGGTCACACTACATATGCATGTACAAGCATATATATACACACCCCATGTGGTTTTCTTCTATTTTCTTACTAGTTCTTCCTCTGTATGTAATACTTGTCATAAGAAGCAACTAAACTGCTGGGAGCAAGGGGCTAGTAACCCCTTCTCCTGTATGCGTTACTAAAGTTAAAAAGAGAAGCATTTGTTTTTCTTTTTGGGCCACCCTGCTTTGGCGGAATATGGCCGGTTTGTTGAATGGAGAAGGTGTTATTACATGATAGTTCATTAGAGTAATAGATGGCAATACCATCCCCAATTTGGTTCGGCCTGCAGTTGTGGCTTGCTGTGTATCCTGGTAGTGAGTAGATATATGTTGTGTCCTGCTTAAGCCAGGTTTCAGTGAGAATAATACTGGAGAAGGTTGTCTTTAGGGAATCAAGGAGTGCCAGGAGGTCATCATAGTGTTTACTTAGGGACCTAATATTGTAATTGAGAACTGTAATATTTCTGGCATTGCTTAGGACAGTGCTGGCTTGTGATGCTGTGTAACAAAGGCAGTTTCCATTAAAGTTTGGTTGGGATTTAGATTATATCGATTTAGATCTGTGTCGGTATCATTCAGCATTTAGGTTAACTGGTAATGATTTATTTTGTGTTGAGTTCCAGTAATGATATCTGTAATAAGGGGATGTTTGGACAAGTTAATGAATGTTGGTCAAGCAGAGTGTAAAAACTAATAAACATAATGAGCTAAAGTATTAACTAAATATAAATCTATTAAGACAAGATTATAAGTAAATGTAGCACCAAGCTCTGACTTGTAATTGCACTAAAGCTAATATAAGCTGTTTACAATAGACAGTAAAATACAGTGAACTGTTCTAAATTAGTCTGTGAGTTTTAGCAGTGAGATAATAATAAAATGGTGAACAACAGATATTAATTAATTGTAAAGGGTAATATTTGGCAACAACAGAGGCATGCTGACACTACAATTCAAAAACTGCAACATATCTCTACCCCTTCTTCAGAGTGCAGGCACCGTACTTCCAACCTCCACGACTTAAGTCCTGCTAACCAGTTTCCCTGAATCCCTTTATAAATGTTACCTTACTCACACTCCAACAGCACATCAAAGTTTTTTTTTGTCTTATTTTAATAATTTATACAGGAGAAAGGGTTACTAGCCCCTTGTTCCCGGTATTGTAGTCACCTCTTACGACATGCATGGCTTACAATGGAAAGATTCTTTTTCACTTCCTCATGGAGATGAAAGGAAACAAATAAGAACAAGATTTATTAAGAAAACAGAAGAAAATTCAGATGGGTGTGTATATGTAATGTGACTTTAGTATAAGTAGAAATAGCAAGATGTACCTGTTTTCTTGTGTGTTTGAGACCAAAAGAAAATAGATAACAGCAAGTCTACCATTGTGTAAAACAACTACAGGTTTCCACTTCACATGCATTTAGCAGGGTGGTAGTACCTCCCTTAGTGGTTGCTGTCTACCACTTAATACCTTAATTATGCTATAATTATGTAATAATATATGTTTAATACAGTACATACATAATACAGTAAACCCTCCATATAATGGGTTAATTGAGTGGAGCAGGTGGGTGGTAACAGCATCTGTGGTGGATATAGAAGAGATTGAGTTATGATTGAAACAGTAATGGATAATTCTGCAATTCAAATAGGTTGATCCAGTGGATTTTGTTTCCAAAGTTCGTTATATTCGGGTTTACTGTACATGTACAATATTCTGACACTTGGCAAGTCATTTACTAACTTGTATCTGCCGCATGTAGCGTTTTGGTATAGTTTCCATCATGTTGCACGAGTCGATGAAGTAGTGTGGCAGGTTCTCTGTGGAAAGACGGTTGTAAAGATTTTTTAAGTATGCCTTCAACTTGCTGCCCAGTTTCTCCTCTTGCCAGTCTTTGAAGTTGTCTTCACACATCCAGAAGAGAATGTAACGGAGGTGTTGTATCTTCAGTCCCTGAATGTCTTCCAGGTGATCCCTCATCAGGTACTCCACCAGCAACATTAAACGTATCTGTCAAGTAATGACTTATGACATGATAGACAGTGAGGTAGGCTGTGAATGACCTGGTATACAGTGAAGTAGGCTGTAAATGATATGATAGAATAATAGGCTATGGATAACCTGATACACAGTGAACTGGGCTGTGAATGACCTGATACACAGTAAAGTAGGCTCTGAATGACCTGATACACAGTAAAGTAGGCTCTGAATGACCTGATACACAGTAAAGTAGGCTCTGAATGACCTGATACACAGTAAAGTAGGCTCTGAATGACCTGATACATGGTAAAGTAGGCTCTGAATGACCTGATGCACAGTAAAGTAGGCTCTGAATGACCTGATACACAGTAGTCTGTGAATGACCCAATATACAGTGAAGTAGGCTGTGAATGACCTGATAGTGAAGTAGGTTGTAAATGATATGATAATATAGCAGGCTGTGAATGACCTGATAGTGAAATAGTCTGTATTGTAAATGGGATTGAAAGGAAGTGGTTAGAATATTAGGCTGCTACCTTGGAGGGAGGTGTTACAGGAAGGAGTAAAGTGACAGTTTACAGGAATATTTATCAGCATTGTCTGAAAGGTATCGTTTGTTTCACTGTAGTTATTAGCTGCGTACCTGTGTGTGTCCAAGGCTTCGGAGAAGAATTTGTTCCGCTCTAGAAAACTGTATCTGCCATTCGATCTTCATGACATTACTGGGTTCTACAGGATTGTAGTGACCGAGCGGCACCAAATTGCAGCCCATCTGGATGGCTTCCATAATGTGCACTTCTCTGGGCCACCTGTAATAAAATTCAATAACCCATTTTGTGTGTTAACCCTTTCAGGGTCCTTGCCATAGTTCTACAGCTTTGAGTTGAGTCTCCAAACCATAGATCTACGCCATGAGCTCAGCTCACTCTGATAAGCTGTGAGCGGTAAATTTGGGCCTAGATATGAGAGAATACATCTATGTGGTATGTGTGCACCACAAAACAAATCCTGCAGCACACAGTGCATAATGAGAGAAAAAAACCGAGACCATAATTTTCAATTAAAACGGCGGCTTTGCAGTGTTTTTTTGTATGTTTTTTATAGTTGTATTTGTGGTTTCTTGGTCTCATTTGATAGAATGGAAGACATATTACATAAATAGAGATGATGATTTTGATTGGTTTTAGTACTGGAAATGGCTTGAAACTGAGCTCAAAGTAACAGAAATGTTAAATTTTTGCTGATGTTCAAGAGTAAACAAATGACCTCACACATCTAATACATGCCAGCTGGTGGGTCTAATATATGTTCACAAATATGGTAATATTATTTCTACAATTATTACAATATTGCATAACAGTAAATCTTCCATTTTTTGGTTTGAATTAAAATTCATTGTGAATAAGAAATCAAAAGGGAATTCATTTGTAAAGCCTGAAAGTGTAACTAATGAACAGAGGAAATGTTAGTTTAGTGCCAGGAATGCTTGCATTGTTTATTCTGGACCCTATTTTGAAATTGGATTATTTTGAACTTTGCATTAAATTGACTGAATTACTAATTTCCATTCACTATTTTGTAGTTGAAACAGTTGACTTGACAATTTGTTGTGCTCAATCAATAGAATATAAGTAATACTAGTGAAATAGCTAAGAATTTGGTCGACTGGAATAATGTAATTGGCCTAAAATGGGAGTCAAAGTCGGGAAAATCGCCTATACGTAAATATCGCTGACACATCAAAATTCGCAAGAGCATAATTTCGTCAGTTTTCCATCAAATTTCATACTTTTTGTTTTATTACCTTCAGAAAATGTTTCTACCATTTTATAAGAAAAAATAATAAATTTTTTCTGAAAATTCTTGGACCCTGGTGCACACTTCGAAATTTGGTCTCTGGACCCTGAAAGGGTTAAGATTAAGATCTTTATTTCAGCATGACGGTGTTCATATAGAGGTGAATGACATATAGGTTTGCATGCAAAAAAGCCCCACAATATGCAGTATGCAGAGCATATGACTTAAACATGTGACTTAAACATGGAAAATCAACTTTAGAGTGGAGCTTTATCAAGCTTGCCAGCTAGCTGTGTGTGTTGTCATCATACCCATGTGTGGATATTTGTGTATCATGCCTGTCACTATTATGCCATGGCATCCACCAGTGTTTAAAGTTCAGTCAAAATTCTTGACCTAAATAAACACTAGTAAATAAACATGCAAAGATTTGAATTTCATATAATTAACCTTTAAACTGTCCAAACATAGATCTACGTCCACGTGCAGGGGGCTCCAAACGTAGATCTACGTTTTTTTTACATGCTTTCAAATGGGGAAAATCAAGGTCGAAGCACTACGCACAGGAACGTAGATCTACGTTTGAACAGTTTAAGGGTTAAGTACGTTCTGACAAATTCAGTAATTTTTGCATGGAAAATATTGCATGAGATGAGTAAAGTATAACGTAAATGACACAAGGGTTGTGGGTCAAGATCTACTAAAGAATTGGTGAAGTTTTTAAAGTTGTTGTATTAATGGTCTCAGAGTAGAAATAACACACAACAGTTGCTAAATTTGCAATAGTTTACTCATTATGCAGCATGGTTGTAAGTGCACCCTCGCTGTAACAGACCTCAGTATAATGGACTTTTGAAATAGCAAACAGAATCCAGTGATAAATTGTACTCTTAACTTGTTTAATTTCTGTACATTGTGTGTATACTCTTAAGTATACAATAGAGTTCTTCAGTACTTTTTCATTGAATTTTTAATATTCTGATTTAACAGACACCTGCACAATCGCATCTATCTAATCTATCACTTACATTGAGGGATTCTGGACCTCTGTATAATGTACATCAGAAATACATAAAATTACACACATTTTATTTCCAGCTGAGACAATCACTTATTCTGCTAGATCATCCTGCTCATTTACAGCATTTACAGTATTCTTTCTGGCTTTTAAGGGTTACACCAGTTAGGGTGGAACCCTGGTTTCTGCAATATGAAGCATCCTTTATGAGGGATGGAGTGTTTAGCTTCTACAATGAACAAGTGGGGACTTGCATTAATCCACATGCCATTCTTAAATTCCACTTCTGACATCAGTTTCCATTGAACATTTGAGTGGGCATAACTGATGACATGCTCACTGGCCTACACATCCTTCCTGCATGTCAGAGCAGAGCCTCTTATTGGCACTTTCCTAGATGAAGACCAACAATTCCTACTCAAAGATTTACCACTGTACCTACAAAAACAAATGTGGTATATGTACAATGGTGCACCAGCACACACAAGTTGTGAGGCCTGAGATTACATGGATGCACAATACCCAGAGTGGTGGATTAAGATGAGGTGACCCAGAGGCATGGCCCAGGGTCATGGCCCAGGGGCATGGCCACCTAAGTCACCAGACCTAAACCCCATGGTTGAGATTTATGAAAGAGATGGGGACAACCAGCACAAAGTTTGGCAATGTGTTCAGGAGGAATGACCAGGTCTTGGTGTGATACGATCATGTTTGCCATGCCTGTGAGCATCGTGTTCATACATGTTCAATAATGGGTGGTGAACAACAGTAAACTTTGATGTAACAGACTTTTAAAATAATGGGCAAAATCTGCTGTGTAAATTGCACTTCTGACTTCTTTAATTTCAATGTTTATTGCAATATAACTGTAAACTGTACAATACTATTTTTGGTATACTGTGGAGTACCTGATTCTTCCTCCCCTTTTTTTTTTTTTTTTAACACTTTAAAACAGTATGATTTAACAGATACACAGACAATCCCTGCCAGTTAGTCCATTATTTGGAGGGTTTACTGTATTTGAGCATTTGTAAACAGACCATTGTGAACCCTCTTGTAGTAAGAACATTCAGTAAAATCAAAACATATCAATTAGAGGTCTTATTCAACTAATCCCTGAAACTAATATCTTGGAAATTATACATTTTTTTACCCCCATGTTTATATAAACACTGACTTCCATCTTGGGCTGAGAAAACACACAAGAAATTTCCATGTACATTTTTGATACCTTGTATAAACTCTACAAGACAGTTTACTATATAGAGGAACTTGTAAGAAAAAGTTTACTGTATAGAAAACTTTATAAGAGCTTACTGTACAGAGGAACTCTATAGAGAGCTTACTGTATAGCTTAATTAACATTTATTATCTGTAATTAAAATAAGACAAGAATGCACTTTGCTGCATAATTGTATGATTTGATTTAATGCTACAAGATGTACCTAGGTCAGATCAATCAGGCTGTGATGAGTATGTAGTCTTCTGGACTGCTGGCAGTAACAACTTCCTTGAACTGACAGTCAACAATTATAAGTGGGCAGATAAATGACTGTTATATTCACTATAGTAGAGAGGTTCTTACAGTTGCTTGTTGACTTTGATTACCATAGGTGAGTAATATGAGGCAGTTTGGGTCTCCCACACTACCAGTTTGGGTCTCCCACACTACCAGTTTGGGTCTCCCACGCTACCAGTTTGGGTCTCCCATGCTACCAGTTTGTGTCTCCCACACTACCAGTTTGGGTCTCCCACACTACCAGTTTGGGTCTCCCACACTACCAGTTTGGGTCTCCCACACTACCAGTTTGGGTCTCCCACACTACCAGTTTGGGTCTCCCACACTACCAGTTTGGGTCTCCCACACTACCAGTTTGGGTCTCCCACACTACCAGTTTGGGTCTCCCACACTACCAGTTTGGGTCTCCACATCATCATTTTGGGTCTCCCACACTACCCAGTTTGGGTCTCCCACACTACCCAGTTTGGGTCTCCCACACTACCCAGTTTGGGTCTCCCACACTACCCAGTTTGGGTCTCCCACACTACCAGTTTGGGTCTCCCACACTGCCAGTTTGGGTCTCCCACACTACCAATTTGGCCCCAAATACAAGTTTTTCACCTATACAGTTATGAGCGACATCATACCAGTCTACATACGTTGGGTTAACACAGTTTTTGTTCTCCGACACAAGTTTGGGTTTACCGTTTGGCCCTCAGTTTTCTCCCACATGGGAATCCACAACCAGTGGGCCTCCTCAATATCAGGTTGGGTTCCGAATTCTGTTGGTTGAACTCAGTTTGGGTCCACATCAGGTTTGGGAAATATAACCCGTTGGTCTCTATGTAATTTTTGTAATTTTGGGTTAACCACGTACCATAGGCCAGCTAAAAACCTTTGTAATGCAATTTTTCCCCCAATAAGGGTTTGGCTTACAGGGGTCTACACAATACGTTTGTCTCAACTACGTTGGGCCAACTACCATTGGCACATATCTTGTAGGGGCCCTGCTACGGCGTTTGGGGTTCCAACAGCGTTTTCTCATAAATGGTCTACAATTTGTATTATATCATTTGGGTTCTCACACTATCCACATTTTAAACCAGTTTGGTCACCACCACTATATTTAAAGGGAAATATTATAAGTTTGGTTAACTTACTTGTTTTTAAGACCCAGTTTGGGTTCTCCACTAATAAGTTTGGTCTCAATACCCAGTTTGTTCCCACACTACCCAGTTTGATCTCCCAACTACCCAGTTTGGGTCTCCCACACTACCCAGTTTGGGTCTCCCACACTGCCCAATTTTGCAATAAAGGTCTTGCCTAATTACAATATGAAGCAGGACATCATACAGTAATACTAACTTGTAAACTATTTTTGTTTCTGGATCAGCAAGTTGTTTACGTTCCCTCAGTTTCCACTGGAATGCACAACCTGGCCACTCCTTCAATATCAGGGTAGGGATGAATTCTGTGTTGAACTTTGGTCCTATCTGGTTTGGGAAATATAAGCAGTTGGTCAAAATCTATGTAATTTTTGTATTTATGATGAATAAACAGCAGAAACATCAAAACCATTATAAACATCTTAATGTAATGGAATTTTTCAAATAATGGTTTTACTTAGAGGGTACATAGGAAAATACTTTTTATATGCTACTACAGAGCAAGGTATGAAGAAATATCTTGTACAGGAGGGCCCTGCTTTACGGCGCTTTGATTTACAGCGTTTTGCTGATAGAGGTCTTCAATTATACGTATATTCATTTCTATTTCAAACTATCCTACAAATAAAACATTCACCACTCACTATATTCTAAAGGTGAAAATATTTTAAGTAATGTGTGTACTGTATTTGCATTTTTAAGACCTAGTTATATTGCTCACTTAATATGAAGCTTGTAAACAATATCAGTCTTTTATAATGTATGTTGAGAAAGTAAAAAATGGCTATGATTCCACTTCACAGAAGATTTTTGCTTTACAGTGGTAGCCTGAACCTAACCTGCAGGACCCTCCCTGTGTACATGAGTTAACGTAAGGTGAGTTTAGGGTTATGCACTAGTTTACTGCTAACTGTCATAGGACTACTGCCAGTTTATGATAATGATTATTTGGTTACTTTGGGGGTCAGATTGTCTAAAGGACACCAACGATTTTATGTTAGTCTGGTTTTTTTTTTTTTTTTTTATTTATCACACTGACAGTTCCATCAAGGCAGGGTGGCCCGAAAAAGAAAAAACTTTCACCATCATTCATTCCATCACTTAGTCTTGCCAAAGGTTGCCTTTACACTACAGTTTTTAAACTGCAAAACATTACACCCCTCCTATCAGAGTGCATGGCACTGTACTTCCCATCTCAGGACTCAAGTCCAGCCCCTGCCGTTTCCTCCCTGAACCCTTCATAAATGTTACTTTTTCCTCAACACTCCAACAGCACATCAAGTAATTAAAAACCATTTGTCTCCATTCACTCCTATCAAACACGCTCACGCATGTCTTGCTGGAAGTCCAAGCCCCACGCACACAAAACCTCATTTACCCCTCTTCCCTCCAATTTCCTAGGCAAAACCCCTACCCCGCCTTCCTTCCACTACAGACTGATACACCTTGAAGTAATTCTGTTTCGCGAGTCCTTCTCTCCACCTGTCCAGAACCACCTCACACCCCTTCCTCAGCCTCTGGACAAAAGTTTTAGTAATCCCGCAACCTCCTCCTACCTTCAAACTACGAATTCTCTGCAATATATTTCACACCAACCAATTGCTCTCAGAACATGACATCTCCCCTGCCTCTAGCCTTCTCCTCGCGTGAGTTTTTTTTTTTATTACAGTATTCTCAAGGTCTTATTGAAAATAGAAAAGAGATACTAATGAATCTATGAAAAAGAAGTTGACATTATATCAAGAGTAATGACGAAGTTTTTAATCTATTAAAAAAACTCATACAAGAAAGACTAGGCAGCACAGAGGGTTACTTTAACCCTTCAGGGTCTGTCCCGTAGATCTACAGCTTAAAGGATGATTGTCCAAACCGAGAATCTATGCCAAAATCTAGCGCCATCAACTTTAGCGCGAAAAGCGCACATAGGCCTACATGTGAGAAGAATGGGTCTGTCCGTGGGTGTGGCGCATAGAACAACAAAATCTAGGCGCACTGCATAGCATGTTGGGAACACCGCTTCAGTCACCCTTGTTCACCATGCGCCTCGTCGCAAGTCAGGCTCTCACATCCCCGAAAATTGGGACTTCTCCTCTACCTGTCTGATAGTTCTGACACCTGATGGAGAGTGGAAATGAAAGACGAATTCTACGGCTTTGAAAGTTGGTGATACCGAAACTAATGGACCAGGTAAACGATAATACCAGTGGAAGAAAACACCGAGACGATCCTCCGACCTTCTACCTCTGGTGTGGGCACCAATCGTGACACACGGTCGGGTCTACTAAACGTAAGAGAAACACTAAATTTTCCGCGTGGCAGCCTCGGACTTAGTAATGAACAAATGATCTTCTGATGTGATTTTGATTTTATTGCGCTCATGAAGAAGCGCTCATATTCGAGTAAGTGATAGTGAGGAATCATATTCACATCATATGAAGCGCTCGGTATGTTCGGCCGACCGCATGCGCTCGGGTACTGTACCCTCTGCTGCGCCTCAGGGGACGGAGTAAACATCCCGGAGTACAATCCGGAGTACATCCCGGAGTACGTCCCGTGGCCCTACACCCGAGTTTTCAAGGTGAGTGAATAATGAGGAATGATGTGGCTACACTTAGGCAGGGATAGCCACAGGCATCAGTGGAATGTGTTTAGTGGTGACTCGGGTGGTAGTGGCAACCAGCCATGCGTGACATCCGCCATGCCACGTGGGGACCCATGCTGCTGACATTCGTCAATCAAGACAAAGCAGAACAGCGTCAGCCACCAGCCCACCACAACCAACAACCACCCATAACTCCCAAGCCATGATGTCCAGTATCCACCAGAAAAACTTAATGTGGGATGTGGCAGCAAAATCCACAATTTTGTTCCCAAGCCTCACACTTGATGACTCTCAAAGTGAATTCTACCAACTGTCCCCCCTTGGAACCCACGGCCAATGAAACTGGAATTTCTTTGCATTAGTCTATTGACCCAGCCATTGATGGAAATTATTGCAGGGAAAGTAATAAGTATTTTACAGTACACCCTGACAAATACGATCTTATCACCACAGTCAAGACTACACAGGTGGAAAGAGACGACAGTTTGCAGAATTGTATTTGCGTTTTGCAACAATAATGCTTATGCCTCACGTCTATAAGCATAATAAAAAAGCGCTTACTGTCCACAGATATCGGCTAATTTTCAACCCCGGTCCCTTCAGATGAAATAATACCAAGTTGAACAGGTTTATCTTACTAGTTACGTATTTGCACTTCTCAGACAAAACCAGGCCCTGACAGCAGTGACAAGTAACATACCAAGTTAGAAATGTTTTCATAGTATCCCTCAAAACAAAAGTTCATGATATACTTTTTATCCATTACAATAATCTTGCGTAATTGACGAGTCTTTGATTTTGTTCAAAGGTCAGACTTGTCATTCAAGCAGTATAAATACCAGAGCAAGAGGAACCATGGCTATTTGGTATAAAACTTTTGTACTCTGTGATTGTGACAGTGGCCTGGTGCGTTGGATATTGTTGTTAACACAGGAGTAAAACATTGAAAAAAGAAAGAACCAAGATGTTTATTTGGTATCCAGGTGACGTAGTGAGAAACATGAGCACCTTATCTGGTAAAGGTAATACATTATAATACCAATAACTGGTACACAAGCCCATTACTCAGTGTTTCATGCGAGTGAACAAGACAGATGTGTGTGGCACAGTGCGTCTAATCGTAAACTATGCCCAGGCTCAACGAAGAGTGTTCGTGGGACATGACATCGCATGATGTTTTACTGCCAAATGGACATCACTGGCATTAACGGTGCGTCACGACAAACGAGAATCGTCACATTGTTGCGCCAACCACTCAACGTATGAAATGCAAGAACAAGTGGGCAAAAGATTGATCGAGTGACTAATGGAACGTATTCAAAAACCAGTGTCAGTGATTGATATACACAAAACACGCATTGGTTGACAAGTGTGACATGCAGATTGTTTTGTCTGACTGTGTTTCGTAAGATTACGAAGTGTACATGAAAACTTTTCTTTCTCCTCTCCATCTCATGGACATTTCAATGCTCAATTGCATATAATATTTACCCAAAAATAAAGACTGAGAAACAGACGACCGTATGTAATTTTGTTTCTGTCTGTGTCAGACCAACTCTCATAATGAATTACCTAGGTAACAACACCTGCAATACAACAAGGTCCTTCGAATCCCTCAGGATATACCCAAGCGTTTGAGGAGACGTGGCGTGATCATTTCATAATACAAGCTTCCTTCAACCTCAAAAGAAAAAAATTTTTGTCAGAAAGATATGCATTGTCCTTGCACAAACAAAACGACGGCAACAAATGAACGCAAAGACACTGCACTCGGTTGTATGTTGAGGAAATGTAAGGTCCTCTTTGCATGTGCATTTTGTTTCAAGGAGTTCCACAAGCTCCAGCATTTCTAAAACCCATGGTCCATGATTGTAAATATGAAAATATATGATAAGAAACATTAGTATTATACAAATTTTCATGTTTATTGTAATAAAAAAACATGGTAAAGCAATAATATGAAACTTTAGTGTCGTTAATTGTGTTCAATACAGTGAGTTTTATATATATCAATTATATACAGTATTGGTCTCTCAGGCCCCAAATGTTAGTATGAATAGAAAAAAATGGAAAAGAAAAGAAACTAAACAACAAAATAATATAATACTCGTAATGTGGAATTCGTCGATGTGCCACCGACCACACCATTTCACTCTTATAAACTTCTTAGGCACTGTCTCTCGGTATAGTACTGATCAGAATTCTTATTTTTTTTTTGCTTTATTACCTTCACAAAAATAGCTCTTTAATTTGTAAGAATTTTTTTTTTTTTTTTTTTTTTTTTTATAAATTTCTTGAACACTGGTGCGTGACTTCAGATTTTGGCCTTGGACCCTGAAAGGGTTAATACTCTTATAGTCACACAGTTAACACTTTCATTGTCTCATCCATAGATCTATATCATTGACACCAGTGTTGCTTACTTGATGTACAGCTACATTTTGAACACAGCTCTCTCAGATAAGTTGTGATCAGTAAACTTTGGTCTAGGTATGATATGAGAGAATGGGTCTGTGTAATGAGTGTGCACATTATATGTACAAGAAAATCCTGCCCCATGCAGTGCATGATGGGAAAAGGAAACCTCTGACCATGTTATTGGTTTAAAATAGCAAATTTATGGATTTTTAATGATTTTATTAGCTGTTTCTTGTTATACATTTGATGTAAATAGACATGATTCTCGTTGGTTTCAGGACATGAAGCACCTTGAAATTGGCCTTGAATTTCTGGAAATTTTTTTTTTTTTTTTTTCCAGTTTTCCTGAGGACTGGAAAGGCTTCCCCTTCATCTTCTGATCTGTTTTGTTTTTTTACTAGGTGTGATTCAATTGTTGCAACACCATGAACATGACCAGTCATTCCTGGTTATATTTTATTTGAGAAATATCTGGCAAATCTTTGGTTTTTGCATGATGTTTTAGTGCTTGGGGTGACTACGGTTTCAATTGGATTTCTTTTTATTTTATGTAAAATTAACCAAATTACTGGTTTGTGTATGCACAGAATAGGGTAGTTTTGATAGCTGAAAGGACAATTTCTTATGCTCAGTTGATACAGTGAAAGGCATACTGGTGAAATAGTTAAGAATGTAGTCAAACTGAACATTAGAACTGGCTTAAAATAGGGCACAAAATGGCCAAAATCACTGTCGTGTAAATTGTGCCCAGACAGATAAATTTGCGCCTGCATAATTCTCTTAAGTTTTCCATCACATTTTATACTTATGGTGTCATTACCTTAAAAAAAAAATGTACATGTATACCATATCAGAAGAAAAGTTTTTTTCCTTGAAAAATTCTAACACCGGGCACTTAACCCTTTCAGGGTTTCGGCCGTACTAGTATGGCTTATGCACCAGGGTTTTTGACATACTAGTACACCTAACTTCTAGCACCCTCATATCTAGTGAGAGAAAGCTGGTAGGCCTACATATGAAAGAATGGGTCTGTGGTCAGTGTGTGCAGTATAAAAAAAAATCCTGCAGCACACAGTGCGTAATGAGAAAAAACAACAACTTTGTTTTTGGATTAAAACAGCGAATTTGCACTGTATTTTCGTATGGTATTTATTGTTGTATTCTAGTTTTCCTGGTCTCATTTTATAGAATGGAAGACATATTACAGAAATTGAGATGATTTTGACTGATTTTACAATGAAAAGTACCTTGAAATTGAGCTCAAATTAGCACAAATGTTTGATTTTTGCCAAAGTTCAAAAGTAAATAGATCATGCCAAGCGTCCAATACATGTCAACTGGTGAGTCTGATATTCTTTCACAAGTGCGCCGATATTATTTATACCATTTTTTACACTAATGCAGTAGTCTGCATAACAGTAAATCTTCTATTTTTTGTGAGAATAAAAATTCAAAGTGGAAAGCAAAAGAATGTAAGAGGGGCATTGGGACATGACTAATGAACAGAGGAAATGTCATTTTAGTGCCAGGAATGTCTTTCTTGTTTATTCTGGACCCTATTTGGGAATTGGCATCTTTTGAAATTTGTGTGAAATTGGCAAAATTGCTAAATTCTGACCCCTGTATTGGATAGTTGAAATAGGTAAATGGGTGGTTTCTTGCACTCTTTCGATAGAAAAAATGGAGTTCTAGCGAAATATTCAAGATTTTTGTTGACTAGTACAGTGGAATTGGCTGAAAATAGGGCTCAAAGTGGGCAAAATTGCCGATGCGTAAACATCGTCGAGACTGCTAACTTCGCGAGAGCGTAATTCCGTAAGTTTTCCATCAAATTTCATACTTTTTTTTTTTTTTTTTTTTTTGAAATTTGGGCGACCCTGAGAACAAGTTTGAGAGGGCCTGTCGACCCTGAAAGGGTTAAATTTCAGTGTTTCTGACAGTGATGAGATTAATATGGAGAATCATTATTTGCTAAGATAGCATTTTAAAGCATATTGTACGTGCATTTTAAAGCATATTGTAAGGTAGTAAAAGAAAGTAAAACATATGAAACAAAGCAAATTACAACCTTTGACTTCATGCACAGTTTACTAGTGTATTTTATTAATTACTGTATATCTCTTTTGCATTATTTTTATAGTTTTTCAATAATGTAAATTACATACCTGCTCAATTATAAGCTCATTAGCAATAATTGCTGGAGGCTGCATCTGAGCTCTTTCAACTAAATGTTCTTTGCCTAAAATTTGTGCCAAAGTTTCAAATTCATCCTCAAAGCACTCTAGATGTCGTTGTGATGAGAAGTAAGTTCTTCGTTCGCTGGTTGTTGAAAGCCCATACACATCTTTGGGGTTTTTTATCTTTATTTTCCTGTTCAAGAAGCAGTCCTCATTCAAGCTTGCATCAAGTCGAACCTCTTTTGATTTTTCTTTCTCCTTATTTATTTCACTTGTTGTATATTGGGAGTCATGAAGCTCAATGTTATTGTTTTCCTGTTCTCTCTCTTCCTTCTCTGTCTTTTCCTTTTCTGCTTCCATTTCTCTCTCTTCCTCGTCCTCACTATCTTCCTCAACTCGGGCTAATTTTCTTATGACTTCTGCCATTCCCTCACTAGTATTCATCATTTGTCTTTGTGTAGAAGAAAGTCTCAGTCGTTCCATTTCTGGACCCACCTTTGGGAAGACTCCACTTGGTCGTCTCTCTGTTAGATTGTTTTTTCTTGAAAGTATGGGTGAACCTGTTCTTGCACCTGGATACCCATTTTGAACATATTCATCCCTTCCTTCCTTCAGCTTATTTATTTTGTCCTTAAGTTTGCCTGTAGGATAGTGCTCTGGTAGAACTCCACTTGGCCTCCGAGCATACAATTTTGTCGATGAAGGCGGACTTGCAGGCTCATCACTGTCGCTATCTTCAAAATCTGACAACATAGAATCCTTGTGAGCAAACGAATCCAAACAGTCACCCTCTTTGAGGGTGACTGCTTGCGAATTTCTCCGCAGAGGTCTTAAGTCGACTATTGGGTCAGGCATTGATTCATCAGTTGGTTTCATAAAACTGTAGATGTCTTCATATGTGTTGTGGCGTGACATACCGGGGATGATATCAGCACATCGAAGTCTCACGTAACCTGAAACATAAGTAGTTCCACTGTATATTATTGACAAAAAGTATTTTTATACCTGTGAAATGCTAATGAATAACAATTTAATTTTTCAGTAATTTTTATTAGGTTTATGTATGGGCAGGAGAGGGGGTAAGGGAGACTTAGTTTATGCTTAATTTAGTCCAGGCTTAAGATTGTGCAATAAGTATCTCATGTTTTATGCAGTAGATGCATTCCAGGCTTGTGGTAGATGTACTAATCTCAGTCAATAATTAGATGCCTTTCAGTCACTGGAATAAAACAAACTCCAACCACACAATAGAGTGGAAAAACTAATGTGAAGGACCTGGGATGAAAATCCCAAAAGGGCCCATACGGGGTCTTTGCCTGCTCTGTCATTTTAAATGGTTTTTTTCACATTCTTTGCATGCTAAAATTTTAAAAAACCTTTTCCGGGGGCCCTTATAAAGTAAATCCCTCCATTGCTTGCCCTAATCTATCAAAAAAATAGTTAAACCTGAAAAAAAAAATAAAAGGAAAAAAGAGTGTGAAATAACATAGCAAACCCTACCCCCTGAGAGGAACTTCGGCTTAGGTTTTTGTGTGAAAAAAAAAAAATTAGAAAAAATTTTTGTGAGGGGAAAAAGAAAGTCTCCCTGATAAGAGTGTCTTTACATAGTTGTATAAGTTATCACAGTGGTACTGAAAAGAAAAGGAAAACCGTAAAAATGTGGGGTAAAAATTAAAAATGGAAGTGTTGGCCAAAATAGATAACTTGTTTGTAAAACCTTTTAAACCCGTTCCCAGGATCCACCACCACCCCCGCTTTTTAAAATAATTAATTTCCAAACCTTTTCCTTTAGTGTACCTTGGGGAAATACAAAAATTTGGAAACGTTTTGTAGAGTTTACAAAAAAACAGATATTTGCCAAAATTCTAATCTAGATTTAAATTCCCAGTCTTTATTCCCCCTTTTTTTTTTTTATACTTTTTTTCCCCTATTTATTTTAAACTTTTATTCCCTTTTTTTTTTGGGAAAGCTTATTACCCAATTTTTTTTTATAAACTTTTTATAATTCCCCCTTTTTTCCAATTTCAAACTTTTCCCCCCAACTTTTTTTTAAACTTTTTTTAAACCCTTTTTTTCCCCAAAAATTTTTTTTTAAACTAGTATCTTCAACTAAAACCTTTTAAAATTCTGCTACCATTTACTGCATATTAAAACCCCAAAAGTCATTGCCATTTTTATTTTTTTATTTTTTTATTATTCTTTTTCAACCCTTTGTTGTGTTTTTATTTGGGCGATTTAAATTTAGTTATACCTAGTTCTTGTAAACAACTTTTAAAACCTTAGTGCAATTACCCAAATTTAGAGTCTTTTGCCCTTTTTTATTATTGATTTAAAATTTAATGGGGGTATAGCTCATTCTAGCTCAGTACATTTGAAAAAATACCCCAAAATTTAATTTTTTTAGCCATAGTGCAATTACAAATGGGTTGCCCCTGGAACCAGGGACCATTCTAAAACCATTGTAAAAAACACCAAATGAAAAACAATATAGACAGGGGTTTAAAAACCAAAATTTTTCTTTAAAAAAAAACCCATTTTTTCAGTTCACCCAAAGTAATTTAAAAAAGCAAAAACTATACTACTCCCGCAGATTCCCCCTGACACAAAATGGGGATATAAAAAAGACCCGGAAAACACACTCCCCAATTCTAGGGGGCCCACAAACTGAAAAAAAAAATAATATTGTCCCCCAACTAAACCTTATGAAACACCCCCTGAAAACCCACCCCACACAGCTAAAAAAGATAAAACCCACTTCCCTTTTCAGCCTAGGATTAAACTCGCCAAAAAAATCCCACGTACCAATGCCCCCTGCCGGGGACTACCTAGAGGGGAAATTTTCCCAAAAATTTCCTTCTTCTTGCACCAATGAGCCCCGGAAGTCCCCCGAGATTTTAAAAATCACTTAAAAATAAATCGGGGGGGGTTTTTGTCTCATGTCCCACCATTTTGCCCAAATGGGGCCCATGTCCTTTCAATCTATTTCCCTTTTCTTTTTAACAAGTCACTGGAAAAAACCTTCCCGAAACCCACTCCCAAAACAGCAAGTGTTACACCAATACATAAAGGGGGTGACCTTAGATTTAAACCCAAATGTTTGGCCAATATCAAAATTTTCCATTTCTATTCAAAATCTTTGAGAAACTCGTGACAGGGACTATATTCATTTATAACGGCACAAACATCTAAACCCCCTGCAATTTGGTTCAGGAAAAATAAAGCACTAATGTTTGCAATTATAAAAACGCTAGATCTCTTTACACAGCATTGGAAATTAAGGGAAATATTGCTAGGATTTTTAGTGACCTAAGAAAGTTTTTTGACACATGACCACGGCTCCTACTCCCAACCTTGACCATTATGTAACCATTAAGACCAGCATCATAACATGGCCACTTGTTATGGAGTTCCGCAGGGAAGTGTCCTTGGTCCCTGGCTTTTCCCTTTCATTACATCAATGTCTTCCAAAATTTTCCCAACACTGAACCCCATTCTTCTTTGTGTGACAGACTTTTTTTGTCTTTCTCTCACCTATTTGCCACCCTCAACACCATTGTTAACGAGGAGCTGCTCAAAAATATCGCTTGGATGACTCCCAAATAAACTTATGCTTAACACTGACAAAACCTACTATGTTGTTTGGTAGCAGAGCATGAGTTGCGCAACTTAACATTAAGATCGACAACACTCTATTTCCCAGACATAATGAGGGCAAATTCCTAGGCCTATACCTCGACAGAACCTGAATTTCAGCACCCATATAAAAACAAAACAAAAAAGTATCCAAAACGGTTGGGATCCTCTCCAAGATACGATACTACGTCCCGCAAAATGCCCTTCTCACACTTTCCACTCACTTATTTAATCCATACCTCCCCTATGCTTTTTTTTTGCTTGGGGATCAACTGCAGCAAAACCCCTTTAAAGCAATAAAAACCCCAAACAAAAAGCCGCAGTATGAATAATCACTAAATCCCATCCCTGGCAACACCCCCCCCCCCCAACTCTTCATAGATCTAAACTTACTCCCTGTTCAGTACATCGACACTTACTACTGTGCAATCTACATCTACAGGCCCTTTAAAATTTCCCAATATTAACCTTGACCTAAAATGCTTTCTTGATAGTTGACAGAACCCACAGGCATAACACCAGAAACAAACATCTCTATGACATTCCCCGTGTCCGACTAAACCTTTACAAAAATTCAATGTATGTCAAAGGCCCTAAAATTTGGAACACCCTCCCTGAAAACTCGAACTGCAGACACATTCATCACCTTCAAAACTACCATTAGAAAACATCTTATCTCCCTGATACACCCCATCAACTAATTACATGAATACCACCTGGTGGGTCACACTTACTCACCCATTTGACCATAAACACAGAAATATCAATCTTAATCTTAAAATAATGAATCCAAACTAGTCATAAGTTGGCCTGTGATACTCCAATACTGAAACTATGTATTGTGCGAAAACAAAAGCATTCACATTGCTAAACCCACAAACAGTATTTAGTCACTTAGCCATAATACCAACTTACCTCACAATTTGTAATATTTTAAAGTTAAGAATTAATCTAAGTCTTCCCGAAATGCCTAGCCATGCTAGGTGTTCTGGTGGCCCCCTCTATAATTAGTATTTTAAAACATGTAAACCACACAATATCCAAATTCTGTAAACCCAGCATTGTAATCCTTATAGAGAATAAACTTAATTTGATTTGATTTGTGAATGCAACATACACAACATAAGACCATCTATCATCCAGAAACCATTTCACCAGTGTTGCCATAGCTAATAACAATAACAAAATGGTACTTAGTGTGGTGGAGTGACGAAAATTAGAAAATTCATGTATTGAAATACGAAAAGTATACAGTTACTTGTGAAAAAATGTAAAACCTGTATGTAGTTGGCAGTGGTTGTAATGTACACAATGGAAAGTAAATATTTGTCCAGTAATCTTTCTTCATCAGTTGCCCTACCATAGACAACAACAGTGATAAAACAGCATTTGATGTGGTAGAGGTGGAAATAATCCAGAAATGTTAAATATGGTGATCTATAAGTGCCCAAAACCTCAGGCTGTAAAAAAGGGTGCTAGAAGTCACCAGCTGCTCATCATAGTAGGAGGTGCCAGAAGTCACCGGTTTCTCCAACATGCAAATTATACTTTTTGTATCAAACTGAACACGTATTACTCTGTAAAATAATATTCCAGTAGTCCTTTCACAAGCTAGTCAAAAATCACCGACTGGATTTGTTCAAAAATAAGTGATCCATTGACCAGATTCATCCAAAAGTAAGTGAACCAGTGACTGGATTCAAAAGCTGACAGCGTTTCTAGGTGCTCTTAACACCCAGTCAGATTCATTCATATTCATTCATATTCATATAGTTTATTTGGACATGATACATGTTTGTACAAGGAATTTTAGTAGTTGGGTGTACATGCCAAAAACCCCTCTTATGCAGAGCATTATGGACAGGCTTAAAATTAACTTAAAATTAACTAAGCAATGAAAGGTTCAGTGGTAAAAATTACCGTAAACAATTTACAATAAGTACAATTGAGTATTTGAAACAATGAAATTTGAACATTTCTATTTTGAAGCATTATAGCTGTACAAATTTGTCGCATTACAATGTATAACAAACAACATGATCAATTTACTGTATATTGTCCTGAAGTTTTAAGATTTAAGTAATTAGGAGATTTATTGGTAATGTTAAATATTGAGTGTTGATTATTTAGTCCTGGGCGAGTAAGTGGTTTTTTAGAAAAGTCTTAAATTGATTTTCAGGCCTGGTTACTGTAGTATGTTCTGGTAAGGAAGTCCAGATTTTGGGGCCCTTTATGTATATAGAGTTTTTACACAGTGTGATATGGACACGGGGTACATCAAAAAGAGATCTGTGTCTTGTGTTGTGGTCATGTGTCCTGT